GATGTGTCAAATAATATATCGGGTGCAAAGAGATGCCATGAATAGGTTAGTGGATTAATTTGTACTAGACAGATATTTGTTTACCGAAATTCGGTTCTTTGATTGAAGAAGAAAAAGGCGAAAGAGGTACAATTCGTAAAGGTAAGCGTGAAAATAAACAAGTTTTGACCGACCATTGTGATTGAAAAAGAATAATGTCTTTGAAAAAGTGGTATGAGAGATGTGAGGTTATGCCACTTGCTCATGATATTTTGCTTTTTAGTTCATGTCAATCGAAAATCTTGTTGCTAAAACGAAAAAAAACGGGTTTTTTTTTAGCCCATGAAAAATTTTTAATTATATTAAATATTTTTATTAAAAATTTTGCATACATTAGATACTAATGCGAGATCGTCTTCACCTTGCCTATCTCAGTATTTTTTTTTTTTTTGTTATTTCGAAACAATCAAATGTGCCAAAGTGGATTTCCCTAAAACATCATAATGGAAATCATAAGCCAGGCACATCCATGAAGTCGCAGGAAAAATGGTTTATGTTTTGTTAAATTCTGCCCAAAAAAAAAAACCAACTACATAATCATATATTCATTTGACCCTGTTGAAGGTTTTATTGCAATTGTGTGTATGAACATCAATTTATCAAAAGTGACAAACAGGATACTCATTACATTACATAACAATTTACCACTTACATGCGTTATTAAATTACCATGTAGCACACATAAAAGCCTCTGTTGTTGATGTAAACAATAAATAAATCGTACTAGTTTTATTATTATTATTATTATTATTATTATTAACCAACAATTTTTTGGGAGATTCAGCAAGCAAGCTGTCCTTATTGTCAAAACAAATCGGCGTAGCAATAATTAAGCGGCAGACGAAATTTATTAATAGTTAGTTTATTTAATTTTAACGTTTTGTTGGTTTGTTATTTGCTGCTTAACCGTTTATTTCTCTCCAAATAAAGCAAAAGTGATTTGCTTGCCCTTTTTTTTTTTAAAAAAAAAAACATAAACAACCATGCACATTTAAATTATAAGTTTGTAAATTACATTTGTAAAAAAATACGCGCATATATTAAGAGATTTTTATGGTAAAAAACAAGAATCCATCGTTACATCCACTGCGGATATATATAAAGGGTTTTTGGATGGGTTCGGTGAGAGGTTTTGCACAAGTAACAGAGGGGTGGTATCGTAAGATCTCGGGGGTGATATCTATCGGCTAAGCATCACACGTAAATAGTGGGGGGGGGTTAACCTGTGTAAGTTTAATGCAAAATATGGTAATTTGGTATATGGGTTATTTTTTTTTAATTTAAATAATTAACAAGAATTTCCATCTATTTTATGTTATTTTATAATAATGACAAGGGGTTGATGATTTATAAAATTTTTTTAAATTTATTTAAGATTATTATTCTTCTTTTATCAACAAATTGATGATTTTTTTATTGACAACCAAAATAAAAAAACAAAGCGGCACACGAGCATTACGACTTTTTTTGAAGGGATGACCTTTTTATTGGGTGTTCTATGTAATGATTTGATGGATTGTTCTATTTGCGGTTGACAATTGTCTTTTTTTTTTATAACTCATAAAATGATATCATCAAATTTTGGAGATGATTATAGCCGAATTAAGGAAAAAAAAAGTTCCTCCTGACAGCAGTCTATCATAAAGAATTACATTGTCAAAACTTTAAAATTAAGTGAAACTTTTTTTTTTTTTTTTTTGAAAACATCACATAAACGATGTTATTGCATACATGCAGCTCATCACTAGTTAGATTATTAGCATACATATATATGTATAGATTAATATATATTTTTACACATGAAACATTTATGCAAAACGCATCAACGAACCTTGACCATTAAAGGGAAAAAAAAACTATAAATATATTTATTGATTATTGATTTATATTTTGATTCGAGCATGAAAATTTTAATTTTGGAACGAAATTGATTTATTTATTTGTTTTTTTCGAGTTTCAAAGGGTTTCAAATGTAAATATACACTTTTTAGCAAAAAAAAAAAATCATGTGCAACTACCATGACCTGATCCGTCCAAAGAAGTTTTCAATTAGGAAAGTAAGAATCAATCGAAAACCTTTTTATTATCACTATTATTATTTTCCCAGCCGGTCTGACCTTTTTTTTTTTTTTTTTTCCGCAAGGGGATTGATTTCATTGTTGATTGTTATTTTTTTTTTTTTTTTTTTTTTTTTTACGTAATCGGGATGGTGGGTGTTCCAATAAAAGAAAGTTTCATTAATTTTGTGATTCGATTCGTTTAATTTTTTTTTTAATTACGGTTAGTTGTTTTAAAGGGATTAATCATCATCAATCTATAACAAAATAATTTTTGTTTGGTTTGGTGGAGAAAGATATGGAAATGAAAAAGAATGTAAGAGTATCCTGCATTGTACTTGTTGAGATGACATAAATTAAATTTTTTTTTTTTATTTGGGCGTGCTACCAGAAAATAAATTCTTCAAATAACAGAAAACATCCTTTTATGGCAAACTAATAAAAAAAGGATTAAAAATTTCGCTTACAAACCAGCGAACAATCAAAACAATATTATTGTTTATTGTTATTATTATTATTATTTATTATTATTATTGACATTATTATTATTATTATTTCAATGTGTTTCTTTTTTTTTTTTTTACTTGATCTTTTAATTTATGATATGATTTTTTTTCCCCAGTTTTAACGATCATCCTATCTGATTCAAGGGAATATTGGAAACTCGTGATATGAAATAAATTGAGGGAGAATTAAACTAAAGTAGGCGTTATTGAGCGTCGGAACTATTGAACCATTCCTTTTCGGTCACAATTTTATTTCGGTCCATTATACTTTACGGACCACACATATATTGCCATATTTAATTACCGATGACCATTTCACCGACGCTATTACCGATAGTTTATTCCACCGACTGCCTCTAGAACCGTAAAAAAAAAAAAAAATGCAACTTTAATAGAAAGTATACAGAATGATGGTCGAAAAAAGAGTTGTGAAACGATGAGGACATGTTACAATATTTGTCATGAATAATTTATTTCTTGAATTTTTACAAGTCGTTGGTAATAAATTTTTAATATCACACAAATCAGTTGTTTGTTTGTACCACATTTATTATTATATTGTGAGCAAACGAATCATGTTCCGTTATCACGTAAAAGGTACAAATGATATAAACGGTATATACGCTTATGATTTTGTAATACGATTGATTAGTGGCGAGAAAACAAAGAAATACCTGATACGAGTCATCATCTCATAGGGAAAAAAAAACGAGATTTTAGATCATCCTAATATACGAAATAATCATATGGTTGAAAGAGCGACCACCCTAGTGAAGAATGTACGCAAGGGCCACGCGATTTTACAAAGGTTATGTAAGGGTTCTCGGCTTACATTCTTGATCTTCCCGAAATCGTTAAAGTGATAATCAGGGTCTCGTGCCTTAATATCTTGTTTTTACTCATGATTGATCCTTTTTTTTTTTTTTTCCTTTTTTTTAATAATGAGAACAATTTTGGTCGTATCAAAGAGCTTCATTTTAGAAGCAAACTTGTTTCTGGTACTTGCTTTAAAGTTTACAAAGCGGAGAGATTTGCATGATCCCAGAATCTTTTTGAGTGAAACTCCTTTTTTTTTTTTTTTTATTGTTGTTGTAGTTGTTGTTGTTGATGTCACTAGTTTTATTTTATTTATTTTTTTTTGTATTGAACGTCGGAAAAGCAACGATCGCTTTTTTACTCAATCAGGGAAATTAAAGAGAGGTCCGTCATGGTTGAGAATTGGAATTCGCGTTATTCGCGTCAGATTTGTTACACGAACGAAAATGATCCTTTTGCTTGTGTCATATGTTAATGATACAAAATTGGATAAAAAAAAAAGAAGAGTAACCAAAAACAAAATAAAATAAAAAGATTTGCTCATAAAATTTCGCTTTTAATGCAAAGCATCTGATCTATTACAATATGTACAAAGAGTGAAATCGAGTCGAGAACATTTTTTTTTGTTTATCATCGGTTTATTATTGGTAACTTAAAAAAAATTAAAATAAAAATCAAAATTAAAACATTTTTGACATTCAAAGGGGTAAAAAAGAGGAGTTTTGATTAGCGAGAAAGAGAGTGTGTGTACCGCTTGTCGGAAACTCATTTATGTTTGACCGAAAGTTGACAGTAACCCACTTTTTTTTTTTAAAAAAATCAAGATTGTAAACGTAACGAGTAAATAATTACACATTCTTATTAATTGATCAGTAAAATGATTATGATTTACACTTTAACCAGTTAGGTTTTGTAACTAAAAAAAAAAAAATTTTGTGTGATACCAAAAAAATCAAAAAATGTGATTTCGTTGACAAATAAGCGGATATTGTCATGTAAGGTAATAAACGCCAAAAAGGGGGATTAAAAATACCAAAGAGGTCATCAAAATGAAATTTTTTGTCGAGTTAAAAATAAATGTAGGAACGACTTCATTATTCCCTCGAAACGAAATAAAATTCACCACAAGAGGGGGGTGGGGGGGGGGGGAAATAGAAAATATGGCAGTGAACAAACAAATAAAAAAACTCCGTTACAGTAATATTTATTTTTTGTTTACACTTTATAATCGACGTAGCATTTACATTTACATCTCCCCCCTAAAAAAAAAAAAGTTCCCCATAAAACATTATTTAACCCATAAAAGTATCGAGTGCCCCACATCTTTTATGTAACATGAAAGAGAATTGAAGTAACGGCGAGTAGGAATCTGTCACACCAACCCCCATAATAAAATATGATTATATTAATCGATCTACAATTTACAAGTTAAAAAAGAAAAACTGATCAACCAAAGCAATTACGCCCATTAAAATTTTAGTTAACGATTGACATCCTTGTGCAGTAATGTTATTAATGTTATTCTTGTTGATTGATTTGAACATGATACTCTAAGGCGTGATTTTTTTTTTTTGAAAACGGTATGTTTCCAACGATTACGGCAGAATTGCCTAAATTAGGTAAAACAGAAATGGTCGTAAACGGTATCGAGATCCAAAAAAATGCTTTTTTTGAAAGAGATTCATTCTGGAGTTAGAATAAAAAGAAAAAAAAAAAAATTTTTTTTTTTTTGCTCACACACAATCCATTCAATAAGACCATATTGGAAATTTCCTTCTTATCTTGGTATTGATCGTTCTCAAACATTAGAATTTAACCATTTTATATATCTACAATAAGAAAATGAGAAGAGAAAAATAAAAAATAAAATAAAAATTCAGATTGAAAAAAGACGCGACTTTTTTTTTTATTAGGCCAATAATGATTTTTTCCTTGTGCTTCCTTCGAGGCCTACTCAGATATTATCTTTTTATTGCTCTGCGCGTTCAAGGTCACAATAATCTTCATAATAAATAATATTCTAAATTTAATGTACCCGCGTAATATTATCAGATTACTATACATACAAATATAAATATTATCTTTCATTGTGCAAACCACAAATAAACAGTAATTTAAATAATAATAATAAAAAAGGTCGGTGTGACCACCGCTTTTATCAACGAACAAATTCCGCGAGATATTTTAATCGGCATATCAAGTCGATGAACCAATTAAAAGATGGTTCAGGTTATAGATTTTGAGAAAGAGCAAAAAAAAAAATCTAATTACTTGATAACACGCACATGATCACCCTATATCGATTCTTTAACCAAAAAAGCTCTCTTTTAGTTCTTTGTTCTTTCTTTGGTATATGATATTTTCCCATCATCGAAAAATCTCTTCAAACAATCTCATAATTATCTACTACACGTATCATCCACTTGCGAAAAGCCTCTTTTTTTTTTTTACTCACTGTTCCGTTACACATGAAATAACTTTGTTGAATCCCGTCATGCTATGCCATCTAAGGCATGGTGGAGTTTATTCGGAAAATTAATTATTGACCAATAAATAATTTATGGGCGTAATTCGAACTTTTAGTCTAGATGGGCATTCCATATTTAAAAAAAGAAAAAAAAAGAAAAAAGGAATCATTTTCAAATGTTCGGCATTTGATCTCGTGTTTCATAAATATTTTCCTTTATGTTGAAATACAAAATAAAAACAATTTTTTTTGATAATGATTCAACGCCGACTTCCAAAACCCCCCAAATTCCAATTATAAATTTATTTTTGATTGGTTTATCTCTCCGTATCTCCCAAGTTTTGAATTCATTTTGGAAATAAGGTTCACTTTATTATTCATCACCTATAATGACATGATGTCTCTTATGTAATATAATAATGTAATATAATATCACTTTCTTTTTTTCGAAGCCCATTCAACATTCGGTCATCCCATTCATTGATTCACCATAAGAACAATCAAACATTTTTAAGGTTTAGCTTGAATCCTCATTCCACATAAAGGTCACAAAGAATCAAAAATTTTTTCTTACGACTTAGATTTATTTTATAATTAGTAAAGTCATACACTTAAAAAGTAACAGCGAATATCTTAATTCATCACTATCAAAATCCTATAATTAGGCAAAACCATTATAGCCGTTTCATTTCATTCATTGGTTAAGATAAGCTCGAGGAAGCAAATTTTTTTTTTTCTTGTGCTTGTGTCATATGTAAACTTGAAACCTACAAAAAAGATAAATCAGGAATTATAATAAACTTTAAAAAATTATAATTTTTTAATTACTAATTTGATCGATCTTAATTTAATTGATTTGATTTTCTTACGGATTGCTATGATGATTGATTGTAGGTAAAAGAAATCGGACATTTCGTACACGACATAAATTATTCCGTAATATAATTACCATTACACAAAACGATAAATTCGTTTTAGAAGGTAAATATTGTAAATGTTCTTTTTCATTTTTGTATTCCAAATTACAATTTACGAACATTTATCTAATCAACCAAAGATTCTCATTACCGCATTAGGAAAATTAATTCTATGAAAATTAACTAAAAATAAAGAACAATATCTAACACTCTTCTTTTTTTTACATATTGTTCTTTTATCAAATCCAATTTAGAAATAATAATAAAAAATATCATGAAATAAAACATTACAAAATAAAATTTGAAAACAAATTTGTTTCAAAAAAACAGTTACATCACGACATCCTGATGGTTCGAAAACAATATATTCTGCTCATTGTAAAAAAAAAAAAACAAATAAAAAGGTAATCATTATCATACTCAATAATACGTCATGCGGTTTTCCTAGTCCGATTCAATCCTGCCTGTATGCTTAAAGCGGTAAGTATTTAAAGTTTGATTTACTTTTGGGTGTACTTTTTCATTATGTAATTTCTTCATTAATACAATTTATTAACTAGCATAACATTATGTACATATAATATTGACTAATACATAAACAGGTAACAAAAAAAGCATTGACGGCATGTCATCTCTTTAATCTTTCCAAAGTACACCAGTTACAAACAAGTTAATTGGAGAAAGGATCAACAGAATTGGGTGGATTTTGTGTGGTCCCGAACCCAATTTCTTGAGAAAATTAATGGAATATGTGTGGAATATGCGTGGAACATCATGTGCGCATTTATTTAACGCGTTTCGTTTTTGTTTATCAATTTTAATTTTAATTAAAAAAAATTTAATTTTACATTTGACAAATTAAAAAAAAAAAAAATATCTAAATTAAGGTATACGCGTTCTTCAAAATTATTTACCCTTCATGGAGGAACCACTATTTTTTCGATTTTCAACAATGAATAAAATTCGAGAAAAACAAACGCGTTTCTGAATGTTATTTGTGTAAGAAATTGGCTGCGGCCACATGTATTACCAATTTTAAATGTTTAAAAATTGTTGACATCATTGTTTTATGATTCGTTTGATAAAGTATTTTTGTTATGTTGATCCCTTTATTAACATGTTAAATAATGGTTAGACTTTGATTTATGTTTGTGATTTAGCCTATGGTATAGCCCGCCTGGTTGAGTTTCATTCGTCAAAATTTTTCTTGGCTAATCAAATTTTAGATAATCTTTTGTGATTTGCAAAATCTTGTGACAAACTCGTAATACTTGTTTTCATAATATTTTTTGTAATTCAATTTGCAATTCGCCATTTGTAATTTTTTTTGTACGATAAACCAAAGGTAAATTATGATTTCATCCAATTTACAAGAAAAAAAAAAAATTTATTTATTTTTTTTCTTGGAATTCGAGTTGTTGGTGTAACATTGTGCGTAAACAAGATTCATGAAGATCTGATAACTTCCAAACCAATTAACTTTTTCCACAGTTCGTTTCGTGACCACGTGATTTTTCAATTGGGTCATTTGTTTTATTTTGTGTTTATTTTTTTGCATTTATGACCGTTTAAAGTTAGATGTATGTATTTTTAGTTCCAAAGTTAACATGCGAAATTGATTCAATAAAACTTTGGATGCCATTAACCGTTTTTGTACATTAAGGGAAAATTCTCTAAATTTAAAAAGGTCACGAGGGAAATTACGTGTTCACGTGAATAAATTCATTGTCTGGCCAGCATCAACAGAGATAATGTCACAAAATTCTTTGACGAATACATCGTATATGATCCGGGGTGGTTTTACAACATCCACCAAGAAGAATTTTAAAGTTCGCAAGTTCGGCCCAAATTTTAGCTCGATTCCCAAATTCTTCCGGTTCCATTTCATCATTATTCCAATCTTTTCTTTCGTAATCCCACTCGGCACCACCATCGGGATAACATACGACGTATTTTTTATGCATACCAGATTCATCCAACACATCACGAGCAATCTTAACCAACTTCTCGATAAATTTCGGTTTTGTACAATTAACCCCTACACCTACCACGCTATGAACTCTACTGCACAATTTAACACAATCGGCGAATGATTCTCCATGTGATATTTCTTCATCATTTTTACATGAGAATGTGATCAGACAAGGAACGTCCAATTGTTCTTGTCGTAATAATGAACAAATGGACTCGGCTTCTAGATACAATGGGATCGTTTCAAACGAAATAAGATCGATTTGTGAAAACAGAGGTTTAAATATATTTAATCTTTCCTTATGAAATTCGATCAACTTTTCAAGGGAAATGTCGCTTCCGTAATCTCCTCTGTATTCACTTCCGTTCGTTAAGATTGCCCCAAATGGTCCAAGCGATAATGCGATCATTGGTTTGATTCGATCATTCTCAACGTTGGATCCCTTCGATTGATATTCTTCCCAGAATACATCTCGAGCTTCTATTGCGAGTTGAATCGATTTTTGCATCAGTTCCGTTGCCTCTTGTTTTGTAAATCCCACTTTCGTAAAATAAGGCAAATGTGCTTGATAACTATTTTATTCATATTTTATTCAAAAGAAATAACTTATTAGTGATGATGCTGCTAATAGATTATAAAGGAAGGCACTCTTTTATTATCAAGGACCTGCAAGTAATTGCTATATCAGCTCCGGCCCTAAAATATGATAAGTGAACTTCTCTTATCGCATTTGGATCTTGATATAAACAAGCGGCTGACCATAAATTTGTTGATAATTCTTTTCCGTGTGTTGCTTGTAATTCACTTGCCATACCACCATCTAATATTAATGGTATCGATAGTTCGTAAAAATCTTTTACCTTCATCATTATGAAATTAAAGGTTAAAAGAGTGGGAAATTTTTTGGTGTGAAAATTTCGTTGAAATTCGATCCAAATCACGTGAAACTGATCATTTACGCGTCACGATTGGCAATATTTTTGCTTGTTAAATGACATATTATCAAAGTAGAAAGGCTCAGATAATAAATTTACCCATCCCTAATAAATTATTATTTTATTTTAGCATCAAATATTATTGAATTTAAAAATTTAATATTTTTCATTACAATATACTTTAAATGTCAATAAATATTCGATCAAATACTTGATTATTCCTTAAATAGAAATATGGGGCAGACTGCAACAAAACCAGACAAAGTGAACATTCTATTATGTGATATAATAATAAATGAGAGGCTGATGATGATGTGGCTGTAAAACTGACCAGAGTAACTGATGACATTTTGAAAAGTAATAATAGTGCTCATTCATAACTTATAGACTTGTTAATTTTAATGTTCCCTTTATCATACCAGAATGGGATAAATATAAACCATAACAGGATTAATATAGGAATATCCCTATATAAAATATTAATATGAAACTAATTTACATTAAATCCACTATGGAACCAAAGAATTACAGCACCATTAGAAGCATTTTAAAGAAAGCTCAAGGAGAGAAAATTGCGCCTTACATTTTTAAAATCAATGACATCCAAACTCTTCAAGAATATCTAGATCAAGAAAAAATTACTTATGAAATTTACCAGGAAGAATAAAGAATAATAAGTAATAAATAAACCTTAACATCAGCTCATGATGAACCAAGAAAGAAACAAAAACTTGAAGAAATGTAAGATAGACTTATAATTATCTTCCTTTTTTTTTGTAAAATTACTTTACTATAAACCAACCATGATATTATGATTGAAAGAAAAATTGCATTCTCTGTGATGGGTTAAATCTCATCTAGACGGAATACTTAAGTCATGAGTCTTAGATCTAGAAGGAAGTATCTTTTCTTATGCTGACATTAGACCTAATGCTAAAGCATATTGTATTTTAACCAGTAAATGCCATTGTACCACTGCATGAGAACTCAACCAACAAGAATGAGATGACATGTTGCCAGTCATGAAAAATGTTGCTCACAAAATAGAAAAGTTGTATAAGTCTATTGGTTACTGATTTGCTATACCTGTCGGGAAATTAGAAGGTCAAAACAAAACTCATTTCTATGTTCGATTTCTATCTAAATATAAAGTGTTTTATGACAATGAATGTGTGGGTTATACCTATATACCAGCCACTCCTGAATAAGCTGAAAAAATAAATAAATCTTTATAACCTAATCAAGATAATGTTATTGCTGAAAAAAGCAAAGTAGTTGCTAAATTACATAATAAAATGTCACCTGAATATACTAATACAGTTATTGATGTTAAGAAATATACACAAGAATTGATGAATAAATTCGAACAAAAGTTAAACTGTAATAATTTTTATATTTTCATACAATTAGGAAAAGAGAATAAATTGATGAATGAAAGAGAAAAACTAGCAAACGGTGGAGAAGATATTGACGATGAATTAGAAAAAGATACCAAAGACAACACATTGACTATGTTCTTATTTCCCAAATGAAAAAAAAGGATAAAGAGAATGAGCAGACAGAATACTTAAAAGAAATGGACAAATGCTGAGCATTCACAAATTCGCTAGAAAGCTGATTTTACAGCAATTACAATAAGAACTTGACAATGAATTCATTTTTTTGAAAAATGAGATTGGAGAGGATAATTATGCAGTGTGAGCAAATACGCGTATGTATACCTTGTCTACCTTGTGGACACTCGATAATTCAGTTGTGTAACTAAATTATCATATTACCATATTATATAATAATAATAATGAATTTCTAATATTACAAATTTGGTATAGACGCTACAAAGCTATTATACAGTAGTCATGTGTCCGTAAAATTTTTGTTAGCTCTTAGCATCTAAGTTACATTGCAAGCAATGCGTTTCTTTCGTAACAACTATATAAAAGAAGAGTCTTGAAAACTGAATCTTTTACCTATGAAAACATTACATTATGTTATTTGATATTAAAGATTATGGACTGGGTTTCGACTATTTCCTGGATACTCCATGCAATGACTGAAATACGCTCCAGTATTATGAATTCTGAAAAAATAACAATTTGGATTTAGACAAAGTGACTGTAATAAGAAGCTTTAACAAACAAATACAGCAAAATAAAAGAATATGAAACAGAAGTGAAAATAAAGAATGCGATATATCTTGAAAATCAACTTAAGGTTAGTATAATTTCATAAGCTGTGATTGAAAGTTTGTCACATTCAGTAGCTACCCATGGAACTACGTCTTCACATGGTTATGGATTACGTCTCTGCTGTTGGCTACAGCTATCCATAGAACTACGTCTTCACATAGTTATGAACTACGTCTCCGCTATAACCAGCTTGTGACAAGCCTAGGACTTTGATATATTAACATGTAGAGTAATTTACAATATCTGTAACAGCTTGAATCCAGAAAGGAGGGTCATATAGATAACTTTTGGACGAAGTCTTTATCTAGATTAAAATATCGTAACATTACAAAGGTAATAAATAATACTGAAAATCGATTTTATTCCTGTAATAGAGTACAAGTTGAAAGTGGTAATACTATTCAAAGCAATAAATGATCCTATGGAAATTGTGAACAATCAAACGTTGAAGAAATACCAACTAAAGGAAGCAAAAAATAAAAGCCTGTATGTATCTTTAACCTAAAGTAAAATTAAAGGACTTCTTAAATTTATTATATATACAAAATAAATCTTTTGGATTATAGATCCATCCATCAGAATAATATGTAGAAGATGAACCATCAGGTTCAGATGAGGAAGTTTCTCCTGCTCTTCCCAACTGTTAGAATAATTCTTTGGATGATCATAATGAAATCTGTTTAGTAATATATTTTTTTCTTGTTTTGTTAGCCATATGATGTAATAAGTTTGTTTCTAATCTGCATTGCTCTTCAAAGTCAAATGGCCATGACAAGTTGGATATAGTAATAGAAATACACAAAGACGATGATGAAATCCTTTCATCATAAAGAACAGAAAAGGATCAAGAAACAATAAGGTTATTATTAATCAGTATTGGGATGCAAAATCAATTATTAAGTAGAGAAATTTTTATTCTTTTTATTAATTAATTTGATTTCTAATTATAGTTTAAGACCACTCTATCATGGAAACATGCAATCAACAATATTGACATAAATGATGCTTCTATGAATAATGTAAAATATTGAGAATATTGCGAATTTTTAGTTACTTTTCCTGATATAGTAATAATCTTTTCTTATCTTAGTGAATGGCAGAGGATCACAACGTCTCCCTTGATTTCCATAATTTTCAGCTTGACGTAATAAATCAATTAAAAGACAACTAAACGTTTTCATATTTTAAAGATATGGAACAGATATTGTAAATCCAGTATTTGTTGTGTAAATAGAATCAATTTCAATATCTAATTTTGTATATATTTGCAGATATTTATTATCAATAATGTATTATAATGAATCCAAGCCAGAATTTGTGTCATGTTCTGAAAAAGTGTGAAAGAAAATTCGCCCAAGACCATTAACTCCAATTATGTTATCACAAAATGTTATAATGATAATTGCTGAATACAATACGGTAAGTTGACCTCCTATATGATATTAGTAAATTAGCAAAGGTATTAATTTGTTCTATTGTGATCTAGCTTTTAAATGATAAGCAGTTGATAAATACAAGATAGTGTGAAAATTGATCACTAAGGGATACTTTGCAAATAGATGAAGATAGAAATATTTTTGAGTGTGTGCAAATAGTGTCAAGAAATTTGTAAGTTCTAAAATTATTGAGAACATGTTTGTATGTTCGTTAATGATATTTACATCTTTGCTTTGCAGTTTTATGTATCTATCCTCAGTAAGTTTTAACGAAAGCAATGAGTTGAATGAAGACACATTTATCCATCGGTATTACTATCAAATTCTTGAAGAGATATTTGGTAAAACTGATTTTGCATTAGTTTGGTAAGTTTCATATAATCAATATATTTATTTATACATCACTATATGCTTATAATTGTAATTTAAATGAAGGGCGAATGGCGAGTCTGAAAGTTTGAAAGAAAGTCAGGCATTAGATGGCAACAATCACGAAAGGAAACCAGACTTTTAAGTACTTGAAAAAATAAATGATGCAAACAGAGAGTTCTTATTTGGCGAAATAAAACCTCCAGCCCATATAAATATTATAAGTAAAAATGTGATAAAGCTGGCGGAGTTTATGAAGGGATCTTTAAACCTTATCATCAATAGATGTAGTTATATTGTCAGTATAGAAATCTATGGAATATTGATCTGTGATAAGTTATCAAATATCGTTATTATATCTTAGAATAAGTTATGTTTATCTGCCAAACTAATTGGATATAATTCAAACAGGAGATGTAATTAAAATTTTTAACATAGATTTGGCATATGATGGTCTTTATCGTTATAGTTTATTATCAAAAATACTGCTTCCAACAGAGAATTTGAATTTTCTAAATATTGTTACTGTAATGTCTACATTATATTCATTGCTGGTAAGAATGTTCGTAATCTTTAAACAGGTTATTTTGCAATGTAATCTCATTATTTTTATTTTATGTAGAAAAGGTTAAGATCTACAATCAATGTAGTAAATTCATCTCAACTA